GAGGGCGCATATTTTACAGATAATCAACAGGTATAAATAGGCATTAAAAAAAAACAGATTTTTTATAACTTTATTTTGTTGGTGTCATACATAATGATACATATAATTCAGTGTGAAACTTGGGTGTCCATATTTTCAGCTAATTTCTTATAATTGGGGATATATTTAGAGTTCCCGGTCCTTAAACAATTATCTAAATGTGAGTCATTAAGCTTTGTTCGGTATTTTGATTTCAAATATTTCATATTTGAGAACAAAGACTCGCAATTGTATGTTGTTGCACAATATGAATAAATTTTTAGCGCACATTTCCTTAAAATAGGATACTTATTTTCATCGACTAAGTTCCAAAACATTTTATCATTACTATGCGCTTTTAAAATAATATCACTTTGCAAGTTTATTATTTCTAATTCTAGGTCTTCGATATTATGAAGCTCGAAATACACTGAAACTATTTCAAGGACATCATCTTCAGTAACATTGAATGGATTTATGAAAAATCTTAGAACGGGTTCTAATGCTGCAAAATCTTCAAATCTAGAAGAAAACTCTTCTATTAGCTTATCTATAATTTCTAAATATGATGTAGCAGTAAAATTTTCATTATTCAAATTTAAACTCTCAACAGTATATTTTTATATTTGGGAAATGTGATAATGATTTTTTCAATAGATGGGATTTCAACAACACTAACTTGCATTTGAATGCATTTACTTTACTGCACTAATCATGTCAGCGATATGCTGATTTTTCCCTTGTATTTTTAAATTTAATTCATTCAACTTTGCCGTTATATCTGTCAGAAATCCGAGGTCGATTAGCCAATCCTTATTTTCTAATTGCTCGTAAAATTCGCCTCTTGATGCAATAAATTCCTTTATTTGTGGCAAAAGCATGATAAACCGCTCAAGTATTTTACCTCTGCTCAGCCACCTCACTTCAGTATGTAAAAGAAGATCTGTGAACTGAACGTCCTCATCTTCTAAAAGTAATTTAAACAATCTGTGTTGCATAGCTCCCGATCTTATGGAATTAATAATTTTTGTTACTATCGTAAATACGTGTTGAAAACCGATTGTTTTTGCGCATAACATCTCCTGATGTATGAAGCAATGATAAGAAATAAATTTCGGGAATAAGGAATCCTGTCTACATAAGGCAATAAATCCTTTTTTTCTTACCAGTCATCGCTGGTGCCCCGTCTGTTGTCATTGACGATAACTTTTGTACAGGTAATTTTACATCTGCTATATACTTTTTAAAAGTAGAAAAGATATCTTCTCCTCTGGTGCTTCCCTTTAATGGCAGAACTTTAAGGAATTCTTCTTTTGTTGTAAAATCAGAAAATACCATCTTCACGCAAATTGCTAATTGTGATATATTTGTCACGTCTGCCGATTCATCCATCTGTAGCGAAAAGAAAATACAATTTTCCATATCATTTGCTAATTCTGCCTCCAAATTCTCCGCAATTACTTCAATTCTTCTAGTAACAGTTCGTGCTGATAATTGCAACGTGTTTATAGCTGAAACTATTTCCTTTTTATTTTTAAATTCTTCAAAAAGTGAATCAGCAGCTTCTAACATGGCTTCTTTCACTAATTCTCCATCTGTAAATGGTTTTTTTATTCTTAGCTAGCAAATGCGATATTTTATATGACGCGATCGTTGCTGCTTTATGTTGTTGCAGTGGTTTAGTAAAAAAACTTTGCTGGTTAGTTATTGAAGATTTTAAAGAAATAATTTTTTTTTCTTCTAATTTCAGAGTTCATTGGATAGTCACTATCAAAATTGGTATGAACGGTCTTAAAATGTCGTTCAATATTACTTTTTTTCTTGGGAATCGCAACACTATTATTACACAACAAACAAATACACTTCCCTTTGTAATCAACGAAACAATATAGATGTTCCCATTCATCGTTAAAATAATATGTTCTTTTTCTTTTACATTTATCCATGAAGGGTTTTGAAAGAAAAGAATTATTTCGGATTACTTGGTAGTTTTAAATGCACGGTCTACGCGTGGTCTATTCGAAATACGATCACACACTAACAAAAAATACGTGCGTGTTATTAGATACGCTCAAGGTTAGCAAACTGCTAATCTATGCACAATCCTAAACTCAACTGACTACTGTCTAACCACGCTAGCGAGAGCAGTTTGGCTGAGGGCCAAGATGGGTCAGTTTAATTGAAGGGGTGTGTGGGCGAAAAGCGCGGGTATTTTTCCCTCTCGAAGGTCGAAGGGGTGTGGGTGAAATCGAAGGTCAGGGGACATTTAGTGTCTACCGGGCTACTGCACTCACCCCTACATAACTGATAGATGTGCCCACTTCCGCCCCAAACCGGATGTTTACATAGATCTGGAATACGTGGTCAGACAGTACTTGCTGTATATCGCCGTTTGACAAGAGTAAGTAAATCGCTCTGGCTATCATACATTTACATTAGTCCAGCGAGGGTGCATTAAAAATCGATCGTGGGCGCCGTGTTGCCTACCCCTGTTTTAGGATATCCAAAACGTCCAGGAGGAGTTTATATGCTATAAGGAGTTTATATGTCTGAAGACTTCTTACATTATTATAAAGAGTGACAGCAAAATATTCAATCATAAGCTGTCTGATTTGAAAATTGTAACTTCAGTATATTTGTTACCGGCAAAGTATGAAATGCCGGCATTCTGTATAATACCGGACGATTTTAGGCAAAGTATGAAATAAGAGAATTAGTGCATACTTTTGCTAGGCATTCTATGGAATGACAAATGCTCTTTAGGCAAAATATATATATAAAAAAAAAAAAAGGTTATGATAAGGTTTATTTAAAAGATGTTCATTCCTCTAAAATACAAATGTTATTTCAAAAAACTGATGAAAGAGGACCATTAAAAAACTGTTCTTCAAAATATGTAAAATATATATATAGTGAGGTGATCTTGATACAGCGCAATAAATTTTTGTATTTGGCTGAGACTGAAAATAGGTAAGATCTACCTGACAACAGAAGTAAAATTCAGAAACAATCATAAGTTTCACATCAGTGCCCTTTTTAATTCTTAATTAATTTTTAATAATTTAATGTTTTTCTGGCAGGGCTCACAAAGGTGGTTGTTACCATTCAATATCATTATGTGTAACGTTTTTGTAATTGGTTGAAAGTTCTTTTGACATTCTGTCACATCATTCCTGTGCAGTAATTAAATGAGTTTTCATGAAATACAGAAAATAACTCAGCGTCTGTGATGCAATACTGCATAGTACTGACGCTTTCTTTAACAGGATAAATGAATGTACTTTTTTCCCCACAAATATCACAATCTAGTGATTCGGCGGCCAGTAGTCCCATGGTTCCTTCTTAGTAGTCATTTTGGCCTTTTTATATCATTCATCAACTTCTGGTAAGTAGTTTTGGTTCTTTGAAACGAATCGGAAATGTATTTTATACTTTGCCAGTTTGTCATTCTATAGAATTCCTACGAAATGTGTGAAATATGAATCGTTTCATACATTGCCGGATAGTTTTAGGTGTTATACACCATGCCTAGGCATTCTATAAAATGCCAAATTTCATACTTTGCCGATAACATATTCAATAAAAAATTAGCTTCTAAACATTATCATTACTTTTGTAACATACTGCTTAAAATACATTAAAAATTTTAAATGAATTTTCTACAATAATAATTCAAATAAAACATAAATTACAAGTACCTTATATAGCATAAGTTATTTACTCAAGTAACAACTCAAGTAAATCTTTATTTAATTACTCAAGTAAATCTTCCCCCCCCCAATAGATGCTTTTATATTCACTTAAACATGAGTAGAAAACTTATATAATATATAGATTCCAGGAATTACATTCTACATTAACATAAATTATAAAAGACAATTCAAATTTAACTTTTTACCTGTTCAGGATAAAGTCGAATCATTACATCTAAATCGCAACCTTCCCTGCCTATGCCATTAACAGACGAACCAAAAGGTATGACATCACAATTTGGAAATAGTCCAGAAATTGAATCTTTTATTACAGCGCAAAAAAAGAACCGTAGTCTTATACTCAGTTCAGAGAGCTGCTCAGATGTATAAATACTTTTTATTACATTGGACACCTGAAAAAATAAAATAAAAATGCAAAAATAGTATAAATATTCATTTTCTAGCTCTAATATGAGATATTTTACATACAAAGTTTCTAATGCCAGTATAAGAACAAGTCAATTAAAACACATAAACATTCATATTCTATAATAATAATATATGTTGAAATTTACAGAATCTACAGAAAATTTACAACATTAGTGTAAAACTAAGTTATTTACTTTATGATTATGTTTACAATCAAGGAATATCAACAGTAATCCTTTCAAGAGGGCTATTAATAATACGTACCTAAATTATGATCACAACATTCGAGCATTATTCACATTCAAAAGGGGATACTGAACAACCTAACTGGCCTACATAAAAGACCCACTACTCACAATTTTGCATTAGAAACAAAAGATTTAAAAAAATAAAAATAAAAAAGATACCTTTACTCATATTACTGGTCTCTGACTTGTCCCTGACCTTTTATGTTTAGTTGCAACAAACTCTCCATGGCTTAACTTATTCCATTGTCAGCAAATAATTTCCCTTTCAGCACATGAAGTGCTATTAGTGGATAAACTGGGTTAAAACTAAACTTGATTTTTTGATACGCTGCTGAAAATCTTTTCAGTCAGTGCACTCATATTGCAATCTAAATTACAATGAATAGCTAACTCTAACACTACATTTTGTAATACTTGCATAATTTCCTTGCTTTTTTTTTTTTTTTTTTTTTTTTTTTTTTTTTTTTTTTTTTTTTTAAGCTGTTGCAAAATCAAGAAAAATCAACCAAAGCAAAGAAATCACCACAGCCATGACACATAGCTGAAACATCATGTTCCATCACAAATGACTAGAATAAAAGTTCTGCATTTATAACATAATTGCCATTGTTTCTTATGAAAAATAATAATATTGCTTAAAAACGGATTTCCTTTTCAAGAAGTACTGATGTTTATTAGATTGCATATGCCACTTGTATATGTCACAAATGCCACATGTGATTGAAAAGTCACAATTGCATGCAGAACACAACACATGATTACATATTTGAAAATTTCCAAGCATATTGACATAGCCACTCTTTAACTTTTCCTGTAGTTTTTAAGACCTTCTTGCCTCTCTGAAAGTAGCATGACAAATATTTACCACAACAGTTTTTTTAGAGACAAAGGAATTTAGTTATTAAATTACATTTGCTACCAATTATTTTCAAGCAATGACTCAACAAGCAATTTCACATCATTTACAATCACTGGGAATGATTCAAAAAGCAAGAAAAAATGTGTTTGATATGAACTGAAGCCAAGAAACATATAATGCCGTTTTTTTACATGTGAAATGCTGCTTGCAAGGCATAAATGAAAGGGTTTTTAGCACTAAAATATAGTCACTCTTGATGAAAAATGGAACCATTACAATACCCAAAGAAGAAGAAATAATGGGGACCACCTGCCCATCCTTCAGCACTGGCAGCCAAGCCTCTGTGAAAGAAGATTTTATCCTCTGGAGTGTTTTCTCTCAAAAGTTGGAGGGGGGAACTGCACAGTTGGTGTATTAGGACTACAGCTGTATGACCAATGGTTGAATTCTAATGTTCGTAACACCACCTGTACCTGTGTTAGAAGTTTTAGTATGTCTCTTTATAATAACAGTCTTTGGACAAGCTTGTGAGTTTAACAGAGAATGCGGTTTACAAGAACTCTAGATTAATTTCCAAAAAAATTGGTGCTCATGTCCAATGAGATCAAGCAACATTGATGTGATTATGAAATCAGTGGGTGTGGATTGATTAACAGGAATGTGTGTACAAGCCTTGTTAAACTAAGGAACAAGAGGACTCACTTGTTGTAAATATGTCAATGATGGATCGCACAGCAAATATTAAGAGATATTGCGTAACACCCTCTGTCAGCATGTACCATATGATGTTGTGTCTGGAAAGTAGTGAAATGCTTTGCAAGGCATTCACTGCTATGATTACCAATGGCTCTACACTACAAGCGCATGAGGCTGCAATGATGTGCTTAAACCAGACACAGAAAACTGAATAGCATGACAATGTTTTTTCAGATGATTCTCCCTCCACCAACTACAATGGTCATATCCGAGTCTGGCAGCTTCAAGGCAACAGGGCACTGCATTTAACTCTTGCGCACAATTAATACACACCGTCAGCACATTCAACAGCCACTCTTACATCTCTTAAACTTTCAGTCTGCTGTCTTCTCTTCCCTTCAAGGCTTGCCTGCAGCCAAATTACAATAGGGCTAATGCATCACCACATGGAGCACATAATGTTTCACAATTTTCTGTTGTTCACCAGTTTGCCCCCTGCCTTGCTGTCTCCCGATATCTTATTCAGTGAATACATCTACTTGATTAGTTGCAAAAAAGTGACCCATGCTATGCTAGATGAACTTTTACAAAATGTGGAAACAGCATGCACTGGCATACCTCAAGCACACATTCAATAGCTTTTTCTTTCAATGCTGAGCTGCACTGCAGTAGTTATTCATTGCCAAACACAGCAGTTACTATATAAAAACTGATACTGAAACAAATTACTGATTTAATTGTATTCTGCAAGTTTAATGGGTCTGTAGTTAAATAATATCACCCTTGTCCTTTATATTGTTTGCCCCGTAAATATGACTTTGATAGCTGTTATTCTTCCTTCTAAAGCATTTTGGATGGCTAGCAATACATACAGCAGGGGTTCTCAACCAAAGGGCAATTTTATGGTTTCATGGGGAGGACGTGGTCAGCTTCTTAGTTAGCTATTAAGTATTTAGTTTTGCTTTGTGACTGTAAAGAAATACTTTTATTAAAGTTTTGACATTTATCAATATTTTCCATAGTTTTTGCTGTTTAATTTATAAAATACATTAAAAATATTGTAAATTTAATTAGATGTATTTGTATTTCTCAAGTTTTGGAAAGGAAGAGAGATGATCTCCTAGCAATCGTGAAATGAGTGCATGAGGTGAAATAGAGTTACAACCACTAGGTATAGAGTATTTATAGAGATTTTGTTCTTTAATACAGTGTCTATTATTTATTAAGCCTCCATGCAGTGACAGTATATATATATGTTCAAAAATATTTATTATTGATACCTTTAAGTACACAGGCATGTAGCTTGAAATTTTTCCAGACAGAGTTATCATTTTACATTATTGGGAGAAAAGGAGTCAAGGTACAAAGTGGGAGGATTATTTTAGAGTTATACCAAAAAGTACCCATTTTCTCACGATCTCTTTGAGAACTTTAGAATTACAAGACCAAACCTTTGGCACCTTGGAGGTTTAAACAGAGTAAAACAACAGTTTTGCTCATTCGAAATAATCTTACTGTATTATTGACACTTTTTTCTTTTTACTTGCAAAGCTTCTAGTCAAAATTAATGAGCAATATTTAAAAACTCCTTTGAGCTGCTTTTCCCAGCTAAAACTATAAATACAACTTCTGAAATGCAATAGCAAGTTTTCAACTGAGCTGTTTAATTACACCAAGGATTTCAAATCTAGGGCTTGCAAATGTTTGTTTTTACACATCTTGAGAGATCCTATATATCTTTGATGGGACTGATATCTTGCAGAGTAAACTTAGGTTCAAAGTGTTGGTTTGGGTTTTGGAATACAAACACTTTACAGTATATTTGAAATCTATAATTTAATTAAGGTGGCACCAACATTATTTACATACGAGTAAAAATAATTTAATAATAGAAATTATAAAACAACAAAGGAAATAACTGAAGTTCACAGCAGAGTTTGTTATTCATTAAATCTCAAAAAGTTTGACACTTCCTGATTAACAGCACTCCTGCCAAAAAGTCATGGAAAAAGTATTCAAGATGTAAAGCAGTATGCCATCCAAATAGTGTGGCAATTCATGATGTGGCCAGAACATTTTAAATTTTAGTGACTCATTGCTCTTGTATAGAATTCTTACTGTTCCACCATTTTGAAAATAGCTATTGTCTAGCACTCATTAGATTGGGAAAAGTCAGTCACAAATGAGTTTCCGAATGCTCTCTAAAGTCGGAAATAATTTTGCGACTTTTTGGTGACAGGTGTAGATAATCAGAAAGTACCTGCCCCCCCCCAAAAAAAAAATATTAGCAAAAAGGTAATTATGGAACTGTGCACCTTAATAACAGAGTGACTATCCTAATATTGAAAACAGATAAAGTAGATGACATTGGTTTGCAGCAAAATGAATGTAAAAGAAAAAAATATTGCTTCAAGGTACATGAATTAGCCTATAAACATTGTGTAATGAAGTTATGTTAAAGGAAACCATGCTTCAGTTCAACATGAAAAGCAATACTTGTGAAGGTTGGTTTACCTAATAATAGCACGCCATTTCTCTTACAATGTATACATAAAATGATATAATAAATGGAAATAGCTAAAGAACCATTGATGCTGTGCTTACTGGATGCACTGCCTAGCATTGCAAGACCTAATAATCACATATCAACTGGTACTATATTTCCAAGTAAACAAGAAAATCTTCTTTGGTACAGGATAATTATATGTGACAAAAAATGGGTATTATATAACAATCCTATGCACAAATGGAATAGTTATCAATTAGTACAACTCACAATATTATGGCAAAACCACACTTTTAAGGGAAAACACCTTATTGTGCATTTGATTTAATATAATTTATTATGAATTTCTAAAATTAAAGGCAATTATCAACTGAATTTTCTGTGTTAAATTCACTCCTCTTTATTCCCAATCTTTATTTAGACAACTTGGAAATAATTAATAGAATAGGAAGCCTTCTTCTTAATACCTATGTGCATTCCCATACATCATGAGATCTGACTGGAAAGTGTAGCTTCATCCCCTTATGTATCAAGTATAACACACTATTTCTTTCTAGTGCATAAAAACATTATGTAACAGCCCTTAGTGTGACCATTTCCAAGATTTTTCATAAAACTAAAATGATACTAATTAAAATACAAATCTTACAGCCCAAAGAAATTTCACTAACTTGGTCTCAAGATGATAATACACTTATGCTTTCAAATGGTGATTTACATTATTACCTATTTTGATTTAATTTGAATTGAAAGTTTTGTCCTTGGATATAAGCTGGCACTTGCCAATACAGCATCAACAATCAAATGGTGCCTTTTGCCAATGAAATATATTTTTGATATCAGCTGATCAATTAGGTTTCCTTATTTCCAACACAAATTATTCTGTGGTTGCATTCAAAACTGTACCAAACACATTGATATTCTTAACACCTTGTCTCTGCTTCCATACAAACTCTACTACAGGAGTTTTCAGTGGTGTTGGTATTGACTGGAGGTCGATGAAATTTAAAAGAAGGTCAATGACAATCAAGGGTCATTTAGCTGAATATGTGCAAGCAGTTAATGCCACAATGAAGATACCACTGATTACAAAAATAATGTTAATACTGTAAAACACATATTCTGTGGTAAGGAAGAAATCATATAAAATAAATATGAGAGAAGAAATAAACAAAAATTGTTTAATATATTATAGAAATCAATAGTAATTTTCTAAAACTATATAAATTTAAATGTCATCTGAGAGAAAAAAGTTGTTACCCAATAATATTAGCGACTCTTCTTTTTCTTACTTAGTAAAAGCAAGCATTAGACAAGTCATAATTTACCATATAAAAACAAGAAGCAAGTTGAATATTTTTTAAAAGTTGATTTAAGAATTACATTAAGCAATTTTATGCCAAATTGCAGGGGGGAGAATGCATCAATATATCAAAAGCAGTCATCATACTAATTAAAATCAAACTTATGTGCAATTATTCTGTTATTTTGTTTCTGAAAAACTTGCCTATACTTGTAAAATTAAATAATAATAATAATAATACACAAAATACTAAAACATAAATCTAATAACCCTTCCTTTTATTTTCTCAAAATTGTGTTCACATAGTTTAACTGTTATTTTTAAGTTATTCAAATGAAGTTAATTATACTATGATTATGGTGCATGCCATGCTCTAGATTGTACAGAAAAATGCAAGAGGGTCATTGAAGAAAACCATTCATTTAAAAGGGGTCGATGCAAGAAAACGGTTGAGAATCCTGCTTGTACTAAATGAAAAAGTAAGTAAATGACTTTCCTTGAACCATTTCCCAATTCTTACTCTAACACTCTACGGGCAGTTGTTAACATTTAAGTCCATCACGTATAGTTTTATTGCATAAGAAATAGAATACTTGCAATATTTTGGTAAAATGTCACATGCTTGAATATAATAGATTGGTTCTACATCAGTTCTTGGCAAATTTCGAGTTTCAGCACATGATAACATGCAAAAAGTTTTCTAGTGAAATAAAAAAAAAAAAAAAAAATTGTTTTTACATGTTTTACTGATCAGTATTTCAAAACCTTCTGAATGCTTATCCTAACTTTGAATACTTGATAAAAATGTATCCAGACAACATATTTTAAATGAGAAGTGGTATTATATTTCGAACATTTTTAATAGAGGAAGGAATACAGTCAAAAGTCTTTAATTCGGACTCGTCGGGACTTCGGCATGTATGGATTATCGATTTTTCCAGATTATAGATCATCAATTTAAATTTGGTAAGATAGCATGCAGAAATTATAAAATTAAAAATATGAAACCGTAATTTATGAAATAAAGAGCAATTATGATCTAAAGAGTATAAAAATTTACAAAAAAAAAAAAAAGCTTAACATTTATTTGTATACTTTATTAAACATTTCCTTCAACGCACGCATGCGTAAAGCATACATTACGCATAGTCGAAATTAGAAAAATGCAACAGGAAAACTATTTGATGTGTATTCATGATATTTATAATGACGAGGAATTTGATTTAAATCATATCAAAGACGCAGTACATCGAGATGAAATATTACATTTAGTAAGAAATTATAAGCCGAATAAAATAAAAACATCTGCCCTGAAGATAAGGATAGTGCTGACAGATCAACTTACAGTTCATTAAGTGCCGCGACGTCCCCCCCCCAACCTCGCAGGGCAGCGTGAAATTGATAAACAGATTTCGGAATGGTTAGAGAAACAAAGGATATGCCTTTATCCATTTTTTGCAGCAATTCCACTTTTTGTTTGATGGACATTGAAACACGCTTTCGCTTTGTAGATCCTTTGGCAGTACCAGAATTGGAAATTCTTTTTTGACATAATCGAAAGTTCAAGCTTACTTTTATAAAATTGCTCTAACAGTCTGCAAAAAATAATAAGCCAGATCCAATTAGAATATTAAGGAACAACGGAATCTGCAACATTAACCAAAATAGATAATTAGATAATTTTAGCTTAGCTTATACCGTCCGTTATACATTAAATGCATGCGTAAACGTATTAGCCATGCGTGATAATGCGCATGCGCGCAGAAAGTTTGTAGCTTTGAGGTCCGGATTATAGATCATTCCGAATTATGGACATCCGGATTAAAGACTTTTGACTGCACTATATTCTATTGACTGCAATACAACTGCGAATGATATAAGAAACTGTTTGTGTCAGAGATCTCTAAACTAGGATGCAACTAGGAATTTCAGAAGGAGTAAAAAGATGGTGGCTTATGTTCTGATTTCAATCACAACATAAGCTTTCCAAGAATGATATTTTCCTAGGGAATTCAAACACTTATCCAAAGATATTTAGTGGGGCATGGCACATAGGAAACATTTGGAACACTAGTCTATTTTTGTAGTCCATGACATCTTTTAAAAAAATCCAAAAACTTCTTTTCTATTCTATTAAAAAGAAAATATTACAACATGATGAATGCTTACAGTTTCTGGTTTGTAATCTGAAGCTGTAGTCATGTCTTCTATTACATCTACAGGCATTTTTGGATCCCTGTATTCATATTTTCGTTTAAATTTTATAAGACGAGTGCAAATAGGAATTGAATCTGCAATATTTGAGCACTGACAATTCAAAAGTAAGTTGCGACAGCTATTTTCATCAACAAATTCCAGTAAGAGAAAGGTCTGCAATTAAAAAATGTAAATTAATAAAAAATAATAAAAGAAAACATAATGTCATTTTTGCTATGAAAAAATTTCTAAACATTTTTCACAAACCATTTTAAAGACTGCATTACAAAACATAAATACACATAGTGAATGGCTAGTGCATTACAGATACTTCCTTAATAGTATAAAAGTGCTTTTTATGTACACATAATAGGAAATCGGTGGACTATCTGAAACACAGAACAAAAAATGTTTTTTATCTTAATATCATAGTAAACTAACTCCTTTGCTGAAATAATGTATTTTCATCAATAAGGATGAACAAAGACCATGATAAAAGGGGAATCATTAACAATATCTTACATACATGCAACGAAGGACGTGGGCACCACCCCTCTACCAATACGATTAATCGGTATAGCACCACGTCCACCTTTATCTAGATAACCATACGTGTTCATTGTGCTAATATACTAATATATAAACATACATACAAATTTGGTACTTCATACAGTGGCGTTAAAGCTAATTAATGCTAGACACTGGATAATACATTGCCATGTTACAAGGTGTATGCAAAAGCATGGACACGGTAGCATATATACATAACGTGTGTACTCATATGTTGAGTACACTATGACCCTTTGAAGCATTATCATTAGATTACAGAAGACATGTACATACTGAAATATTAGGTGCGCAATGTTATGCTGGAATAAGTAATTAGTACAGTGAATTAAAAGTTAGACCCTAGATTAGTACTGTGTGGTACAGTGTCTTGCTACTGAATTATTTGTACTGTTTCCTAAGTACATTAACCAATGTACAAAGATATTAAAACATGTGTATTAGGTACACAGTAATTAGTGGATACCCAAGCGTTAGGTAAGTGCTACTACTTTAACATACATTAACAATAGGTACTTAATACAATGCTGAACAGATAATTGGTGCAATTAATTTTAGAGTGGGGCTCTAGTTAGTTCTTTGCGATACGGTGCCGTGTTACAGGATAAAATGTGCAGATGCATAGTTACATTATCATATATACAGAACATAAATTCATATACATATATACAGACATTTTGTATACAGACACATAAATTCATATACTTATATACAGACATTTTGTGTACAGACACATTAGGTACATGATTATTCAGTGCGTAATAGATGTATATTAACTATACAGTGCCAAGATATGTGATAACACTAGTAGATACATGGGTACAATTACATATAAACAAGGACATACACAATTACATATAGACAAAAGCGTATATACGCTTATATTTTGGTACATAATAGTCATTGGTGACATAAACATTTGGTACTTACTTCATATACTACTTAACTCTAGATCCATAAAATAATGTTATAACTAGTAATAGGTGCTTATTTAATTTCATAATAGGACACTAGGTTGATATTTTGCCTTACTGTGTCACGTTACGTAGAAATGTATGCGGGTGCATGGGTACAGCTTTCCTATTTACAATGCTATACCATTTTCCTATTTACAATGCTATACCTATTTTACAATGCTTATATCATTCGATTTCATAATCAATAGGTACATGGCACATTTATATACATGAGCAGATGGTACATTGTAGAGTGCCGTTGAGGATAATTGATGCAATTAATTTTATAGTATTTTTAAAAATAATGCATTTATACGCAATTATAAGGTGCATAATTGTCATTGGGTACATATACATTAGGCGCATAATACATATACATATTCATATTTAGTTTCTTAATACAATGCTAGGGCAAGTAATTGGTGCTGTTATTTTTACATGTTACATGATGCTGTAGGCGATTGGATGGATAAACTAATATATATACTAATATACATATACACAACTTTTAGGCACATAATAATCACTAGATTCTCAGACATTAGGTACATGGTATACATATACATATATAAACAGATGGTTCATAATACAGTGCTATAGAAAGTAATAAATGCAGTTAATTTTATAGTAAGATTCTAGTTTAACACTATGCGAAACGGCTTCATGTTACACAGTGTTAAATACTGACGCATGAATACAGTAATATTTCTACTTGTTAATACTATATATATATAAAAATATACAAATATTAGGTGCATAATTAACATAGGATACATAATTATTAGATGCACTACGCATATATACGTACATAATACATAAGATTAGTACAATGCTGGAACAATTCATTGGTGCTGTTAGTTTTAGTGTAAGATCCTAGTTTAACGCTGTGTGGTACAGTGCCATGCTACAGGATGATATGCGGGCCATGTTTATACATACACACTATTTATATTCGGATGCATTTTAATTATCATACATACGAGGATATATATACATAGTATTAGGCACATAGTAATCATTGGGCTCACAATCTTAATGCACATAGTACCTTAGTCTCGTAGACTTGAAAGTACGTAATAAGGTTCAATTGGTGCTATTAATTTGATGATATTAAATAATATTAATACAATAATGCAGAAATGATTAATACAGTTAATGATCAATACAGTAACGTTTATACTAGAACATATACAGTCAAAAATCGTTAATCCGGACTCGTCGGGACTTCGGCGATTCCGGATTATCGATTTTTCCGGATTATAGATCATCAGTTTAAATCTCGTAAGATGGCATGCAGAAATTCTAAAATTAAAAATTGAAACTGTAATTATGAAATAAAGAACAGTTATGATCTAAAGGGTATCAAAAATTTACAAAAAAAAAAAAAAAAAAAAAAAGCTTAATATTTATTTGTTTACTTTATTAAACATTTCTCTCAATGTTTGTTTAAGTTGTGCTTAAGTTACATAATTTCTTGTTTATTCCGCTGTTTTTTGTCTTTAAGTCATAATCGAAACTTTTCGTTTTAACCCTCTCTTCAAAGACATCCAATTTTTTGCAGCAAGTTCCGCTTGTTCAAGTCCCGTTAATTGCAGAATACTTGTTCGTTTGTAATCCTTTTGTTCCAGATCAAATTTCCACACATAATCTCAAGATTTTATTTTATAAATTTTCTTTTTTTGTCACAGTAAGCGGGATCCAATTCGAAGAAGGAACAACGCAATCATTAACATTAACCCTTTGACAGTTTAATTTTTTTCCAGAATTCGGTCAAAAAAATGTCACAATTTTTTATTGCATTTTTAAGTAAAGATATGTTATTAAAATTAACATTTCTAATATTTTTAAGCATTTATTACAACTTTTTTCTTTAATGAAAATAATCAATTTTCCCTGCAAGTTTTTTTTTCCCTACATGAATGCAAAACAGGGAAGTTACATTTACAATTAAAATAGTACAATTACTTAACAGATATTTTCGATTTTAATTCAATTACATTTACTATTATGTTTTGATACAAAACATACTTACCCTTCTTTTTTTAAAGATCTGATTTAGTGTGATATATCTTAAAGCAAGGCGACAGGCACAGTCCAACATCACAGTCTGGGCAAAAATACCTTGTCTCTTTTCTAATTCTTTTGCCGTTGTCATTTTTTTTTCAATGAACACACATAACACTGTCTCGCGGGTCTTAGTTTTTTCTCTGTAGGTGGAATAACCTCTAAAAAATGTCTTTCTGTTAGTCTTAGTGGAGTTGGTAAATATCCAGGACGGCCTTTTCTTTCTTCTACTGCTGCATGCCTTTCAATAAGTCGATCGATAATTTCTAATCGAAACTGTAAATTCGTATCTTTACCGCCGTGCTTTTTATACAAACATAAGCGTTCCATAAACAGATGTCTAGAAGATGAAAAAATATTTTTTTGTAGTATTTCTTTCCTCGTTTCTTTATTACAGGATAATTACTTAGGTTCTGGTCCATTCGATCTACACCACCCATTGTGTTATTATACTCCATAACTACTTTAGGTTTTCGTTTAATTTCATTCGTCGAAGTGGATACTTGAACCATTTCCGGATTATGTATTGTAGATATGAGAGACACAGGCTTTTTTGTCCATCCATTTCATAATGCACACTTTTCCCCTCTGGTAAGCAAGCATTTGCCCTTTTTGAAGTTTTTTTGTCAACAGTGCTTTAGGAACTTCCTTTCTTTGAAGTTTTAATGTTCCGTACATATCTGTACAGTAACTAATGAGGATATCTGCTATTTCAGGAGATGAATAAAAGTTGTCAGTTGTCAGACAGTATCCTTTATGTAAAAGTGGTTGCATAAGTGTAATAACTACCTGCGAAGATTTGCTCAAATGTTTGTAACTTTCATCAAACACAGTTCCTTTTCCGGTGTATATTATCATAGACCATACATATCCAGACTTCGACTCACAAAGCATGTACAATTTTATTCCGAAGCGTGATCGCTTTAGAGGAATATACTGTTTCCAACTTAGCCTTCCTTTGAACAACATAAGACTCTCGTCTATGGTAACATCACGTTCAGGGATGATCATTTCTTCGAAATGAGTTTTTAAATGCTTTAGCACGGGCCATATTTTTGATAATTTTGGACACTCATGAGAATTTATGTCAAAATTGACATTATCTGAAAAATGCAAATAACTGTAAATTAATTGAAAGCGGCGATATGACATCACTTTTGGAAAAAATGGCGTGGATGTTGAATGCCTCTTGCTCCAATACTGCTCAACAACTGGCTTTTTTACAATACCTTGCAGAATATTCAAAGCAAAAAATACATGTAATTCATCTTTCGATGTTGGTGTCCATTTTTTGCTCCTGGAATGCCTACGAAGTGTACTGTTTTTTATGCATTGCTCAGCATATCTATTTGTTTCGAAAACAATCAGGTCAAGCAAATAATTGTCTATGAAAGCATCATAGAACTGAAGTTTACCTTTAGTCTCATCGATATCCAAGTTAATTTTTGGAATTCCAGTGAAAGCAAATCTAGGAGGCGGATCCGAAGGATTATCACAACTAATTTCAAAAAATTGTCTTGCTTGACTGATTCCATCTGTACTACTATCAGAGTCACTACTATCCAGGTCATCTAGTAAACTTTCGCT